ATATATATTAGTCTCTTCTCCAATTTTTTCTAAGGTAGGGATAAGACTTACATACACAATATCCTCCTAATACCTCACTGGGTATGTTGTTATTGTAGTCTCTTCTCTAACTTTTTAAATATAATATATTTTTAGCCTACCACTAGCATTATAATAGATTTATTAGTCTACCAAAATTTTTAGAGAAATCTAACCTGTCACAATCTTAGTCTTTTATATCAACTTTCGACCAATTATACCTTGTACATATAAGTGGAGCTCTAATTTTCTATTAATCATGTAAAAGTAAGAATAAAACACTTCGGTATCATTTGGTTCAGTTCAGTATCTCATGGGATTATAATTTTGTATAGCTAATACTACAATTTTGGTATAAATTTTATACCAATATTTGCTAATACCCACAATTAACTACTAAGAAATAACTATAATCTCAAATTTTGTATCAAAATTAATATTTTTATCTCTGTGACCAGACCACCCATCGCATGGGTAAAAAACATCGTGTTACATGTTGACTAGGTCAACACGAATGAAGCTCTCGGAGGCTGTCACGTGTCGTCGATAAGATACAATGTCCCAACTTCAAAGGGTCGACGTCACGAAAAGATAACATGCCGCCGAGAAGGTCGAAGTGACTCGATAGAAGGTGATGACGAGCACTCCTCTTCGGAGAGTAGTAACGGCTAGTTATAGGATTACTATTCCCTAGAGAATATTCTAGTGAATATTCCTCCCACTTGTATTATCTAGTGTTTTGCGGTCCATGTACCTATAGAAGGGGATTTGACACTTTTTGTAAGGAACAATACTTTTAACATTCTTTGAAGATTCTCTCTTTATCATATACATACAAAGTTTACCTTTTTATATCTTTATCTATCTTTTCTTCCTTGATCCAAGAAAGATCAGAATATTTAAATGCTATCATTATCCATTATAGTGAGAAGGACTAGTTGAAAATCTCACATTTGTCAGGTGGCTAACAACAACAAGAACGACCCAGTAAAATCTCACGAGTGGGGTCTGGGGAGGGTAGTGTATACGCAGACCTTATCTCTACCTCGAGGGTGTAGAGAGGTTGTATCCTATAGACCCTCTATCTTTTGTTGTATTGCTTCTTTTCATATTCTTTAGTCATTTATTACTCCATAATTGTTCCAACACAGTGCATCTAACGACATACGAGCTATATTCTCTACGAGTATACTAGATCTATCATTTGGATATTAAGATTGACTTAGAATAACCCTTTCACAATAAATCTAATTGTATAACAACCTAGATCTAAATTTTGAGACGTTCACCCCTAACACACTATTTTGTTGAGCTCATCTTTTTTTGTCATGCATCGAAATTTCAAAGTTTAACTATTAGGGGTCATTTGGTAGGATGCATTAGAGAAAATAATGCATGCGTTAACTTTTGGTGTTACTAATTCCTTGTTTGGTATACTTTTCTAACCTATGCATTACAAATGTAAGTATTAATTATACAATCTATTTGGTATTATCCTATGTATAATTAATACATAGAAAACCATGGTATTAGCAGCATCAAGGTTATTAATGCATGCATTAGCATAGTTAAAGACAAAATTGTCTTTAAAATCCCTTAAAGCTAAAGAATATGGAGGCCATTTTTATAAATAACTAATTTTCTTAAAAATTATGCAATATATTTTAATTTTTAATACACCACACCAAATAGCAGATAAGAAATAATTTATGCATAACTAATGTTTACATCACTGACTCATATATTACTAATCCATACACCTTATTGTGCACTATTGTTATACGCCCCACCAAACTTGTAATTAAGAGAGGACGAATCCGTATCATCTAACTACAATCTTTGGTGATTATGACTCAAATCAAGTCCAAGCCATTATAACTAAATGAATGGATTTGGGCAAGAGAGCTTTTAGAGGTGTAGGTATCAAATAGAAAAAAGAAGGGATGCAAAGTGCTAAAACTGAATTAGACGAGGGGGAAAAGCCAAATATGGTTTGTGTGTGAGAAGTTCGGAGAAGCTCTTCTGCTACTGGGAACTGGGTAGCCAAGAGTTTTGCCAGAAGCCATGGAAGCAGCAAAACGCAAGCGAAACTCTGCCGAATACGAAGATGATGAATACGAAACCTTCAGACTGCCGCCGCCATCCTCCGCCGCCACAAACGGCGGCATCGACCTATCACTACTCGAAGCCCTAGAAAAATCTCAACAAAACCCCGTGGAAGCTCTCGATCTCAAGACAGTGAAAAAATTTGTCCTTTCATTCGAACGCCGTCTTAAGGAAAACATTGCTGCCCGTCTCAAGTACCCGGATCAACCCGAGAAGTTCGCGGATTCCGAAGTCGAGCTCCACGAAGAAATCGAAAAGCTTAAAATCGTCGCTGGAGGCCCAGAGTTTTACCCGGAGCTTGTAAGTCTCGGCACCGTTGCTTCAGTCACCAGCCTCCTCAATCACGAAAACACGGATATCGCTATTGACGTTGTCGGCTTATTACAAGACCTAACTGACGAGGATGTTCTCGAGGACAACGACGAGCCGGCGCAAGTGTTAGTTGATGCATTGGTGGAGAACAATGCGTTAGAATTACTCGTTCAGCTTCTAGGAAAATTGTCCGATTCCGATCCCGACGAGTCCGCCGCCATTTACAGTATACTCGCGACTATTGAGAATTTCATTGAAGTGAAAACCTCGGTGGCTGAGCTAGTATGCGAAAGGACGAAGTTAATGAAGTGGTTATTGACAAGGATAAAAGTTAGAGAATTTGATGGAAACAAGCAGTATGCATCGGAGATTTTGGCGATTCTGTTGCAGAGCAGCGCGGGGAATCAGAAGAGATTAGGGCAATTGAACGGTGTGGATGCATTGTTACAAGCTGTGGCAATGTATAAATCAAAGGACCCTAAGTCGCCAGATGAGGAGGAGATGGTGGAGAACTTGTTTGACGCGTTGTGCTGTTTGTTAATGCCGTTGGAGAATAAGGAGAGGTTTGTGAAATCTGAAGGAGTAGAATTGATGATCATTATAATGAATCAGAAGAAAATGTGTTATGGGTCGGCTATAAGGGCTTTAGATTTTGCTATGACTAATTATCCTCCAGCATGTGAGAGGTTTGTGGATGTAATGGGGTTAAAGACTGCTTTTCCAGCTTTCATGGGTAAGGCAAGTCAAGTTCCCTTTTTCTCCAAATTTCATTAGATTTGACATCGTACTAATTTTACGGAGCAGAATGGTATAAGAGGATTCGTATGGTCAACCACAATTGAAATAGGGCTGAGACATAGTTGATTGACTGACTAATATGTTCATTGGCTTAGCTGAACGGTTATGGAGGATTCATAGAGTAGCCCGCAGCTGGTTTAGGATTGAGACATGGTTGCATTTTGATTGATTGGCTAATTTTTTAATTTTCTGATAAAAATGGATATAAAGGATTCATAGTGGATCCCAATCAGTTTGGGACTGAGATATAGTTGGTTGATTGATTAATTTGTTAATTTTCTTAAAGATTGTCTCGTAAAGAACTCTTGTGGTACGATTGAAGATGTTGATGAATGGAGTAGAATATTATTTGTTCTGCTTTATGGATATGGGTTAAAGCAATTCCATGACTAGTTAAGGATATCTTGTTGTTTGTGGTCTTCCACTTATCAAGTTGTTACTAAGCTAATTTCTTTATAAAGATTGTGACCAAGCTTTGGTATTTGTTGCATAACTTTAATTTGATATCATTTTTATTGTAAAATCAGCAGTTTAACTCATGAGATATAGTAAATAAAAACTAACAGAAAAAAGTATCTCAAGTTCTCCTCAAATGGAAGAGTTTCTATTGCTTTATCTCAATGAGCTGTTAGGATGATGTGGTGTTGTTTACCTTGTTCTATCACTGACTCATATGACTTATTATGCTTAAATGTTTTGACTGTCAGATACCTCTGAGCAAAAAGAACAAGAAACGCTACAAAGAAGAACTGGAAGAGCGTCTTGTATCATTAGTTGCTTCCTTATTTGGTAAGAAGGCTAGTTAACTCTGAGAAAGAGAAATATTTTTCTGTTGTTGATATACTGGAAAGTTTGTATGCCTGCAATTGTGGTAAAAGAAGATCATAGGGTTTGATGTATGTTTTATAACTGGTCTAACCAACCCCTCCCCTTGCCCCC